TCATGCTGCTGTGGGATTTACGGGAGATCACACAGAGAAAACATACAGCACAGAAGCTGCTCACAAAACATCAGTCCCAATGAAGGGTTCTCCAGAGTCATGACTGAAACACACACAAGCGCCGTGAATGAACCATAAGGAAGCTGAGCTATAAAAAAGGTCCTTTTAATTTTCTAAGCCACAAACTTTATGTACCCTGAAATATTTTTATACCCCTGGGCTCCTCCACTCTTCTGTTTCAGCTACTCATGTTTGGCACACTTCTCAAGCTTCTTTTTCTTTCTTTCTTTCTTTTTTTTTTTAGACAGAGTCTCACTTTGTCACCCTGGGTAGAGTTAGAGTGCTATGGTGTCACAGCTCACAGCAACCTCAAACTCTTGGGTTCAAGTGATTCTCTTGCCTCAGCCTCCCAAGTAGTTGGGACTACAGGGGCCCACCACAATGCCTGGCTATTTTTAGAGACCGGGTCTTGCTTTTGCCCAGGCTGGTTTGAACTTGTCAGCTCAGGCAATCTGTCCACCTTGGCCTCCCAGAGTGCTGGGATCACAGGTGTGAGCCTCCACGCCCAGCCTGGGCTTATCCTTCTAATCCCTCAGTATCCTTATAAATTCCAGGCCACTGTGAGGAATGGGTAGATCTTAATGACCATAAGTCAGAAGATGCTGTTTCTCCCTCTCTGATCTCTTTCTCCCCTTGTAGACTAATGACCCTGTTGGCAATCTGAAAGGATGTAGTTCAACAGAAACATAACATGAGCCATAAATACAAGTCACTGTGTAACTTTCTAGTACCTACATTAAAAAAAAACCCTAAGAAACAAGTGAAATTAATGTGACTAATTTAATATAACATATCCAATATATCACTGCAACCTATAATCAGTATAATAATCAGAGAATAAGATACAAGGTAGCCACAAAGTTCATGTGCAATTACACTGTATTTTTTCATGTATCCTTTTAAAGTAATAATACATAGCTTATTTATTAAAAAATACATAAATGTCCTCCTTTATTCCATGTAGCAGACTTAGTTTTTTTTTTATTAAGAATAATGTAATATAGGAATATTTATTTTAATAGTATCTGACTATTCTATGGAAATTTTATGACAAGTAGTAGGACCTTCATATTAATTAAAACAATGTAAAATTATCTCAAATGTATCAACATAGAATATAATTTCATGTGACTTGCTGTTCCTTATTTATATTTGCTATTTACTATCTTACTATCTATAGGGCATTTTCATTACTCTCTTGCTTATTTGTTGAATTACTATGGGTTAAAACTAGAAGAGATTGTTAAATTTCTGCAATAAAAAATAGGAATTGGATTTCCACAGAATAAAAACCACAAGACATTAAAGTGTTGTGTTTATAAAAGCTCCTGGGAGCTTTGTGTTTGAAAATGTAAAAAACTTTTTTCCATCACATTAGTTTATAAATGCATAAAGATCAACATACATGCTCATATTTCACGGATCCCATTTCTCTTCTTCTCATTATTAAAAGAGAGATTAAGTGTGAGTCCACAGTACAACTTTAAGGCTAGAGAGGAGGACGAGACTAAACAGACAGGAGTGCTATTTGGTTTGGCCGGTCGGCATCATAGGAGAAGCACAGCAGCCAGGAAAATATTTTGGAGGAAGGCCAAATTTAACATTGATTTTGATTGTGCTGTCCTAAGAAAGTCACGCAGGACAGACTTCACAGACCATCACGTTTGGAATCCTTTCCAGCTGACGGATGGCTTCTAATTCCCTACGTGCATTTTCACGGAATTCGTAAATACTTGTCATTCCTCCGTCACCTGTGAGCAAACCATTTTACAATCTTTTCTCTCTATGTATCTGATGTCATCTTGCAGAATGTTCTAGATCACTGATCCCAGACAGGACGTGCTATAAAAGAGACTTAGGGAAACAAGCTACCTCCACATCACTCTCCAGAGAGAGGGTTACAGATGCAGAAGGGTCCCTCCAGGTCTGGGAAGGAGTAACAGTCGGCAGATGAGCGTGACGGCTGAAGGAAACGGGAACACGGGAGAAAGGAACAGGCAGGAAAATGTCAGAATTCATGGAGTGTCTCTGATGGTTTGGTATTAAGAAGATAGAAATGAAAAAATTCCAGAATCCCAGCACCAGGGCAGAAGTTTATAAGCAAACTGCAAGGCTTCCAAAACCATGGTGGGATTCCGGGGCTTAGTCAAAGAGAAAGGGGGAAGGAATCGCAAGCAGCAGCCATCTTCCTAGAGTAGGTTATGAAGGCTGGCTAGCTGTCCGGGAACTCCAGACGAGCTTCAGAAGGCCCCCTAGATTGCACAAAGTTTAATCAGATCCTCAAGGGCCTGTGACACACGGGGTTCCTAATTCATTCTGAGAGATTTATGGACTTAGTTGCTTTGCAAACAGAACTTGGACTTCAATCTATTATTCCAAATAAAACATAAAAGTTAAATCCCTGGGCCTGAGCTGTGGCCATCAGTTCCTTAATCCTTCCAGCTGAAGGACTGGTCTTACAAATTTGGTAAGTGCCGATATTCCAGGAGAGTCAGGAGGCTCCAGCTGAAGGCAGAGGAGCCAAGCAGGAGGCTTGGAAGCCAGGCAGAGACCAGGAACTCTCCCAGCTTCTGTCTCAGTTTCTCCTTATGTGAGGGCATGACCACTGGGTTTTCATCAGAAAATGATTTATGTCAAGTATATTTTAAAATGTTGTCTTCCCTTCCCTCTACTACCCCCATTAAAATACAAACAGGGTATTTTATTTTTTATTATAAATAGTTTTAAAGACTGTCACAAAAAGAAAAGAATAGCTTAAATGAGGTATGTATCCGATTACTGATACATTTACTAACCCTGTCCTCTCATCCCATGGGAATTGAACAACACATATGATCAAAGATCATCTCGACACCAGGCTGGGGTGTCCAACCTGCTGGCCTACAGCCCCACAATGGGTTTGGGGGGACTTGTTTTGCTTACCCGTGGTGCTACATATGCAAGGACCTTTTTCCCCCTTTCCTTTATTGCTCATCAGCTTTCATCAGTGTTTGGGTATTTAATGTGCGGCCCATGACAACGCTTCATCTTCCAGGGTGTGGTAGAGACAGAAAAGGTTGGACGTGCCTGCCTGGAAGTTATTTTAATCCATGACAGATGCCCCTCATGATGACGCCTATATGGGCAATATTGTAACACATTAGGGTATCACTTGAAAAAAATGCTGAAAAATGAAGTAAGCTTATAAAGACCAGCCACCTGCTCTCTTCTGTAATGCAGTTTACATTAGGAAATCCATTGGTTTTTATACTGACTTAGGAAAATAAATGACTTCATAGGAAAGTCAGGCAGATCCCAGCCCTACAAAAGGGAGTGTGGAACAAAGGAAAAGATACAGCCTGAATTATTCTCCCTCCACCTCGAGGTCTGTGAATGGGTGATGTCACAGCGTGAGCCACCATGCCCAGCCTCTACCGGTGAGGCTCATGTGAAGGTAATCCATATCCTTTTATCAATATGTTTTTTTTTTAATGTAATACACAGTATTTTCTAGAGCAGTTTAGTTTACCAAAAATCTGCATGGAAAGGACAGAGAGTCCCCCACACTGCACTTCTCCCCCATTGCCTCCGTCATTAACATCTTGCCTTCCTGTGGTACGTCCGTCTGTCACGGCTGAAGAGCCGGTACTGACCCATTATCACCAACTGAAGCCACAGTTAACATTAGGATTCAGCATTTGTCCTACTCATTCATTCTGTGGATTCTGACAGATGTAAAGTGATGTTTACCCACCACTACAGAATCGTCCAGAACGGTCCACTGCCCCCAGTGCTCCCACAGCCCCCACTGCCCCCAGTGCTCCCAGTGCCCCTAGTGCCCCCAGTGCCCCCACTGCCCCCAGTGCCCCCACTGCTCCCACTGCCCCCAGTGCCCCCA